TGTTCAGCTTGAAAGTCAACTACGGGATATGCTTACGTGCAAAGAAACCTTAGAAGTAAAAGTTAAAGAAGCTAACTCTCAACTTGATGATGCTAAACACAATATTGCAGCTAAGCAAATACTGATAGAAGAAATACATAAGCAGCATTCAACTAATATTGAAAATATTAATCATCAATTGCAAAATGAGATCGAACAACGTCATCAAATGAAAGAAGCATTTAATTTAAAAATTGAAGATTATCATGCTAAAGAACAAGAATTATCCAATGATTTACAAAATCTTCAGGAAAAACTGGACAAATCTACATCACAAATGAAAATGAACATAAAAGAATTAGAACAGCAACTTGATCAAATTAAGAAAGCCAAAGTTGATATGGAAGAAAAGTACACGCTTCAATTAAAACAATTACAACTTGAATTTAACACCAAAGAAGAAGATAACCAACGACTAGCCTTTTCCTATCAGCAGCAAATAAGGGAACTTGACTCAATGCACAGTCAATTGAAAGGAAAATATCAATACAATGAGGAGAAAAAGCAAGAATTACAAGTTAAGGTTAACCAACTGGAAAAGGAACTTGATGTTGCCGTTAAAAAATATGAAAAGCAATTAAGTCAACAACAACATTTAATTAAATCAATGAATGATAATTTAACCGAGAAGGATACAAATCATCAAGCATTGTTACAAAATGCTGAAGAGAAAGTTATGCTTGCTAATAATGAAGTTCAAAATCTTAAAATGGAATTGAAGAAAGATCTTAACGAACGCATTCAACAAAAAGATGATATTATCGCGTCATTAAAGGTAGAAATTACTGCCTTACATGATCAGTATAAGAAAGATAATGAACGAAATCAGAGAATACTTAAAGAACAATTAACCAAAGCAGAAGAAGAGAAAGACACAGAACTAAATCAGAATCAGCAGATAATAGCTAAAAACAAGAAAGTAATCGATCAATTGCAATCAAAATTGACTGAAACTGAAGTGAGGTATCAGAAAGAAACTGATGACCTCAAGAAATCATTACAAAAACAAGTTGATCAATTAAAGTTATCGGAAAAGCAATGGTTAAAGGACCAACAAGAATTGGCTAGACAATTAAGTGAAGAAGTTGCCTTGCATCAACGTTACGATAACGAAATTAAACAAGCGCATCAATGTGCCAATGATTATCGCTTGAAATGTAATCAATTACAAAATAGTTTACAGAGCAATGCAGAAGAAAAATGCAAATTATCTAGTGACATTCAAGAACTTAACAAAAAACTACAAGACGAACAGCATAACAAATGTCTTACTAATGATCGCGTGCAAGAATTAGAAAAGAAATTAACTCAGAATGATGAAGATATTAATCAACTGAAAAGTCAATTAATTTTAAAAGATAATAATTTAGCTCAATTAGAAAAGAAAGCAACTGAGTATCAAGATAAATTGTTGCAACATATACAAAAAGAACAAGCTGATACTACAACCAATAATGCTATCTTATTATCGCAATCGTTGCAGGATATACAATCACAATATAAAGAAATGAGAACAAAATATGAGGAATTAAAAGATAATCCAGAAAAAGTTATACCCGTTAATAATGATGGCCGTAAAAGTCAATTTAATATTAAAGAAGATGAATTGGCCAAGTTATATAATAAAATCCGTTACCTTGTTCGCGATAATGATTTGTTAAGCCAAGGTAAACATGTTGCTGAAATTAAATTGAGAGAAGAGCAAAAAATTAACAATCGTCTGCGCGGCCAAGTACGTTCATTAGATACTCAATTGAAATATATACAGGATAATCCATCGTCGTCGTCATCGCAACAGCAAGACCATAGTAAATTAAAAGATGATAATGATCATGATCATGTTAAAATGGGAAGCATAAAATCTCTAAGAACAGCAGCCACAACAATCGCAGTAAACACAACAAACCAATCGATACTTGATACATCAGTATTGTGCTCCAATAGAATTCAACGTGATTTAAACGAGTATTACTCTGATGATAGCTTGGATGACTCAGTCTCGCATAACAGATCACTAAATTCATCAATTAAATCAAAGCTTTCTAATCGTAAAAGTATTACGTATATTGTTAATGATATTGCTGCTAAATTGAAAGAGAACGACAATACTAAGCAACAGAAACAAGATCTACATCAACAAGAACAAAGCAGTATCGATGATAATGAAGTACAAGCATCACGGCGTTTAGCTAGTACATATATTCGTGGTACAAGTAAAGGTTGCCTACATACTGTTGGTAGTCTTATGACGGTAGATGATGAACCAGAACATTTTGATTGGACTCGTTTAGGTGAATTAAATCGTCGAAATCAACAAAATCCATCGCATTTACAATCATCTTATCCAATTGAATTGCAAATCTCAAATGATACTTTGATAACTGAAGAGCAAATTAAACACGGTAGTACATTAGCAGCTAAAACTAGTGTTAGTAATAATAACAACCATCCGAATTATAGTAAACAAAAAAGAAATGCCACCAACGAATTATCGCATGATGAAAGTAAACGCGTTCGATTGCGCCATCGATCAAGAAATTTAGATGCTTTACTATCATCTAATGGTAATAATGCTCCTACAGTGCTATCATCGACTACCAATGAAAATCAAGCTATCGAATTTAAAAAGCCAAATCGCAATCAACAGGATAAGACTAAATCAACTAGTCAAAATGGTTACACTAATTCGGCCAAAAAGGTTACGCGCAGTAGTCATAGAGCCGGTAGTGTACTTAGAAAAAAATTAGGCATTTTAACACCTAAAACAGCTAAAAAAGTCAGTCATACCAATTCTTCGACTGCATCATCGAAAGTATTAGCTGAACGTAACAGTGTAGTTTAATGCGCATTAGCAAATTAATATCTTTACTACAATCCAACAAAACATCAATGATAATGTATCTAATAGAAAAGTTCAAACTTAAAGTAGATGATTATGAGTATCAAGTAAACTATCATGCAAATTAATGGGTTTTAATGAATGTGATACTATACATACATACATACACGTATACAAACTATTACACGTCGCTAGTGATAGTAAAGGAATTATGAAATTGTAAATCGCTGTATTATTATCCCACACTTTATGATATATCCTTTAAATGCTGTAATTATTAAAATAAGACTAATTTTATAGTGTAGTGTCGTAGTAGTAAATTAGTGAAATAGTAAAAAAGGTTTTACTATATTAATTTTAAATTTAAATTGCCAATTGGATCAACTTGATCGTTTATTTAATGTAATTCTTTTGCTCTACCGTGAACATATTTGAATGCAAGTTAGATATAATTACTGCTTATTGCATTCGAATATATATATGTACTTATTTATCGTATATGCGGCATTCGAAATGGCATGTAACAGTTATATGATGCAAAGTAGTTATCGCCACTGCTCCAATTTAAAAATAGTTTTTCTATTTCTTGTTTTTTATTCCAACGATTTTAAAACTATAGCTTGAATCAACGGAAGCTTCACTGTACGCTATTGGCGATTGGCTATCACAACTTAGTATGTCTTTTAGAATACCTTTCATATCAAATTGAATAATTTGCAAATGCTATATCAGCCGAATAAGTTTCCGTGTTAAAACTACGGCTTCACCATTAAACACTTGTTATATATGGTATAATTTTGTTAAATATAGTAGTCTACAACATTAAAGTCCTTTATAATTGTAATTGAAATTTGCAATGTTACTCTTTCAATCTAAATCATGAATCCAATAATTAGTATACGAGTATGTGTTATAGTTTTCGAACGACGAAACCTCCTAAACCATTTCATAATGTAAATCTGCAATGTCATTACACAATATCGTGAAGACATATGATCGAGTTCTAGCATACCGTTGATGCTAGATATTTGGTATCTGATCTTTCGCCATTTGCTTTTCAATCATTAATTACTACTATACTAATATCAATTTACTGTAGTATTGACTCAATCGCAGATTACTTCGCTCATAAATAATGCAAGTCTATAATACAAAACAATTCATTTTATTACTGTATATTGATGATATACAGTATCTTTGTCTGTATACTATAAGTAGCTGATTCTGCCGTAAGCAAGCGCAATGATGATAGACTGTGTATACTAGTATATTATAGTACTTCGAGTTTTGTATCGGCTGCAGATATGAAAATTTGATAACAAATCTGTGTGCATGTTCTACTTATAGAGCTAATATTATCCACGGTGATATAAGAATATTTGGGTATTTTATCCTTCTTTACTTGAGTAACAAGCGAGCCACTGCATGCAAACCTTCTATCGTACCTTGTCATTAACCATTCGTACGAGATATCAATGCCGCATACCGTACGCACGCAATATTGGCTTAGCCTGGAAGACTGGGACGAAAAATTTCACAAGCATAAAATTTTATTTATTGCACATCATTAACTGTTATCAACAGGTCTCATCAGAGGCTGAAGGATAAAATAGTTAGCCAAATGAATGGTTAGGATTTCAAGATAATAATACATGCGAAGCAGATGTATGCACAAATCGTCTCATGCATGAATAATATTTTGTACAAGTTGCCTAGTATTTTAAGCAATAAAATTTATAATATTATCCTAAAGACAGCTACGCTCTGTGAATATCTAAGTGGTGTGCGAAAATTTTGCAAGATATGTATACTTATGTAATGGGTCATTTACTTATAAAAAAAATTTCTCCATATTATTTATATGAATCGAAGTTGTTTAAAGAACGCGTACTAGTCACTGATCTGAATAGTAAACCCACTTATTAGAGATATATGAGTGATAATACAGTATGTCAAATCTAATTTTGGTAAACTATGATTCGATGAATTATTGAATCATACTTAAAAATGTAACCAAAGATTAATTAATTAACTATGGATAGAACGCATATTTATTAATCGAATAATGTTCTACGGCTTAATTTTTCGTGAATAATACGCATTGCGTAAATATTGCCAACAACTACTTTAAACCAAGGATATAATTAACTCCTTGTACTACTGAAATAATTAATGGTTGCCAAACAATAAGGTAACGGACAAAGTCTAATAATTGAGCAAAAGCGACGTGGACTTTTTCCCAAGGATTCGGAAACATCCGCTTGAGATCGACTTTTTCATTGCAGTATGGGCAAGTCTGCTTTTTTCCAACAATACACCATCCACGGATGCAAAATTCATGAAATCTTATATTTCCATTAAGAAGATGATAAGCTCACAATAATTCATTGCTCTACTTCATTAAATAAGATATTGAATAACATAGTACAACGATAATTATTTATTAGATCACTGATTCGTGTAAGTCATGTCGTTTTCCCCGATTAACTCAACACGTAGTACGGAAAAAATATAATACTTATTGCTAATATAAACGTAGCGTAATATTTAATTTATTGAAGGATACAAGTGATTACAAGAAAGCCTATACGTTTTTTCGGGTGTTGTAATAGAGCTTGAGTCGCCTTCATCATCGTCATTAACACTCGTATTACCTACGACTACATAGCTTTCAGGTAATTTTTGCCCACAAACTGCACATAAGTCGTCGGTTAACTGTCGTTTAGGGAGTCCAGTTCCTGTATAAAACTAAATTTAAGCATATGTACTCAGTATAACCGGTATCATACCTTGAACAATGCACTCCTATTAGTACAATACCAGCAAATATTGGCAATGTGTTAACTGTTACCCCTAATTTACTGGCTAAACGGTTTGCACAAATTTCAGCAATATCTCTTGCTAATACACCATAATACATCGCGTAGAAAATAGCAAGAAACCCTGCACTTAATGCTATGTCCGGACGAATACCCACTAAGACATTGATGCCTAAAAATACCCCTAGTACAACGAGGTACCCCATGATTCCTAAAAAATACGTTACTTTATATATAAAATAAAACCAGCTATAGATTCGCCTGCCGTGAAATAGAGAGAAAATTAGGTTAGACTCGTTAGTATAGCAATATAAGAATTATGGTAAGCTAAGACATAGTATACTGAACGATATTAGGGATTTCTAACTTTCTAGCAGTCATTGCAGTCCTACAAACCTAGGTATAGAACCATAAATAGGGCCACGAATACTTCTATATAACAGGTAACCAGATATTATTGTAAATACTGTCCAAACAATTAACATTCTCCAAAATAATTTTACTATACTATAGTAGAATGGAATTGTCCACATTCCGATAAGGGTAACTGCCTAAAGTATGAAATTATGAAAATTCAGAAACATTAGCTAAAAATGGCGACGCATGCTATTTTCTCTTATAGTGCTAGCTATCATTTTTTACTTCTGCGTCTTAAGATATTTATAATTTAGGATTAAAAGTTTAAGCCAGGCAAATAACATGGACAATAAAGTAATTTTTTGAAGAAATCAATAAAAAGTCTTGCAGTACTTGGAACGATGTAAAATGCTTTTCTTTCCATTTCACTAATACGATTTGGCCAACAATTAATGCAAAAAACAAGATCAAGAGCATTTCTGCGTGCATTTGTTCGTGGCCTTGATGTTCTTTATGGAATTTTTCATGTTCCAAACTATATATTATTCAGTATCAACACAATTTTCGTTAGTATTTCATCCAGATAATTATTGTTCTTTTTAAGTTATGGCGCCATATAGCAATAACAGCTAGATGAAAATTCTAACATTAAAGATTATGCAGTGTATGTTAATTATCATTGATGAAGTAGCCTACCGAGCCTTATCTTGTTCTGATAACTGTTGTCCAACCGATTACAATTATTATAAAAATATAGTTGAATATTTAGTATGTTCAGTATAAGATTAAAACGTGTCAATGATATACATAAACTAAAAAAGTATAGGTAACATTAGTTAATATTTCTTTAACTTCATTTGATACCATCTGCTTCAGCAGGTATCATGCCAAAATAGAATAGATATGTACCCTACAGTACATGATTACTTACAAACCTGTATTGTCGGATGGCTGTTATTAGCGATAATAATATTTGCATGGTTCATCATTCCATTGGCCATGACAAATTCAATTGATTGTAACTAATCTAGCAATACGTCGGCTATGAGTAGTTTTAATTACCTAGAGATGAAATATATGAAGATAAATTAGTAGCACAGTCAAAAGCTTACAGGTTATAAACATGATACAGAAGAGCAGCAAGTGTTATATATTTAAATATGATCAAAACATATATTGTACGATAAGCTATGATAACAAATGGTCCACGGCTGCTCTATTCCAAATAGGAAATAATTCAGCAACCCATTTATTCGATCAATTAAATGATCTGATTTTTGAACTAGCTATGATAGACAGTAGTTGATTGATTATTATATAGCAGGCAAAAATTGACTCTAAATCTGTTAATACTTTGAAATCCTATTTACCATACAATATACCTTTAAAGTCAACTGTCTCAATCACTGTCAGATGTTAATCTCCGAACGCAGTCAGAGCTGATGTGTTGGGCTGTACTTTTAAAACAAGATGATGATTGTCATCCAAATAAGTCAAGCATTAATCACACTGTATTACCTGACAAGCAATTATGACGGTAGATCTACTTTACTCATTGATAATAAAGACGAATAATAATTATAATTATATCCGAGTATTATTCGTGTCCAGCAATTAGCGTTCATTCTTAATATTATTAACCGTACGTGAACAACAATCTATTGTTATTACGGTAATCCAAAATCGATCAATAAATTACTCTTTGCAGACTATTATGTATTTGCCATGCTTTTACAACAACACCTTGGATGACTACTTGATATGGTATGTATGTATTGGATCGTTGAAATCTCATTATGGTTGAGTATGTATATATATATATATATATATAATGAATAGTTCAATAGTGTAAGATTGAATGCAATAACAGCGAGTATTGCAGTTTCTCCTTCACCAACAGTAAGGTTTCAAAAGTATTCATATGAACTGAATGATTGATTTTCTCTAAACAGTCTATATATGAGGTATTAAGTTGCTTTTGGATATGACACAAGTTCATATTGGGTCTGGTATTGATTATTATTGACCTAGCGCAGGGTATACGTATGTACGTGTGCTGTATATGGATTAATTAATTGATGCATTCAAGAGGTGTATGATCCTGTCCGTATAGACGCGCAATATACACATCAGAAATCGATGGAAACATGCTCGACGTAACAGTATAGTATGTCTAATCCAGTCATTGACAGACTGAAAGCATAATGACTGTCACTAGCAGACCGTAGTGTAATTTCATTTGGATCGGCCAAATTAGAACAATATTCATTCACTACTGTCTACTTATTATTATTCTACCGAACAGCACTGAAGCCAACGAGAGACCGCAAGTTCAGACCATTTACTCTATTTCTTGGTCATGAATTGCAGAATACAGTCAATCGAAAGAGATGGCTATGATTGAAAACGATTGTACAGTATTCTATACCTACCAAATTGAGTAGTCTATACGTTGAATCGATGATAAACTAGGCAGTTTTCTCACCCTCTTTCTTGTCAGTCCATTCAGTAGTTGTATCGTAGGGAAGGAAACCAATGCTTTAACCTTAAGGAACTCGTCAACACCAATCCATCAGTCAAGTCCAGTAGTCCAATTGTACAGTATAATACACTGTAGGCTGTAGACTGTACTGTACATTGTACAGTACACGACACTCAGCATCCACTGCTGCACTGTCCACGTGTACAGTACACTGTACTGTACAGTACAGTACAGTACCCAACTCACTACTGGTAAGCTACAGACTTCAGACCTCTTTTTACAGTACTGTACTGTACCGGTACCGTACTGTATTTGTTGACTTCTGGTACTGTACCATACAGTTTTGCATAGCATGGTATGGAGTCCATAACACATACTGTAGACTACTCAATCTTACAGCGTCTAGTAGTCCATCTGTCTATGACGGTCTCCATGGGACGTTTTAATTAATTAATTAATTAATTAAGGTTAATTAATGGAAGTTTCCAACAGTACTCAAGCTTTTTACAAGGACGCATCGAAGTGATTATACTTGTATCTCTATGCAAGGAAGTGAGTCAGACCCTTTTTATCCTACAGTACAGTATCGTCTACAGTTCTACCATGGACGACGTAATCTTACCGGTAAGATTGACTAGTCCATGGTTCTACACTTTTGCAGCAAAAAGAGTTGAAAGAAACTTCAGGTTTCTTTCAACTCTGTGCCAATGGACTTACACGTATACTCAGCAAATACAGTAATAGAACAGTTCACAGTACAGTACAGTACAACAGGCCATGATTTCAGGGGCGTGGCGAGCTCTCTATACTGGTGGAAAGCTATTCAGCTGTACAGTATAGCCTTTCATTAATTATTAGATCTTTTCCAATTTTGAAGGCATTTACAGTACTGTACATTCAATTGGACTCCAATTCCACATCAATCAATGCATATGTAATACTGTATATTGGAGTCAAATACTGTCGATCATTTCAACCTTGGGCTCTTGATGTTTCTATCAATTTTGAAGGCATTTACAGTACTGTACATTCAATTGGACTCCAATTCCACATCAATCAATGCATGTGTAATACTGTATATTGGAGTCAAATACTGTCGAACATTTCAACCTTGGGCTCTTGATGTTTCTATCAATTTTGAAGGCATTTACATTTTACAGTACATTGAATTGGACTCCAATTCCACATCAATCAATACATGTGCAATATGCAATACTGTATATTGGAGTCAAATGCTGTCGATCATTTCAACCTTGGGCTCTTGATGTTTCTATCAATTTTGAAGGCATTTACAGTACATTCAATTGGACTCTAATTCCACATTAATCAATGCATGTGTAATACTGTATATTGGAGTCAAATACTGTCGATCATTTCAACCTTGGGCTCTTGATGTTTCTATCAATTTTGAAGGCATTTACAGTACATTCAATTGGACTCTAATTCCACATCAATCAATGCATGTGTAATACTGTATATTGGAGTCAAATACTGTCGATCATTTCAACCTTGGGCTCTTGATGTTTCTATCAATTTGTACTGCTGTTTTATTTCTTAGTACAGTACAGCACTTAGTACAGTACGTGGTTTTACTGTACTGTAAGATTAAGTACTGTACACTGTAGTGTACAGTACAGTGTACTGTACTGTACAGTACACAAGGAGTACTCAGTACTCTGAGGCTACAGTACAACAGACTGTAAGCAAGCTCGCGAGTGGACTCGTTGTGATAGAGTATACTGTACTCGTACAGTACAGTACCAGAGTGGACTGTTGTTCGATCACGTCTACAGTGTTCGTTTTCGTACTGTAGGTGAGTGTGTTACGGCGGGAGACCACACGCTTTGTCTCTTCCCTGGACACATTGTACAGCAGTGTGCCTCGGCGTTGCAGCTATGGTACTAAAACAATATTTCTACGTTATTACAATTGCCTATTGGATTCCATTGCAAGTTGGTGTATGACTAGAGTACGCCACACTACCCTTGTCTAGTCAAACTCCAACGTCAACGCAGATTCAATCTTGACCTGCACTGCACAGCAGAAAGGGCAAAAGTGACCTCGACGATATCGGTGCTTGAACAGTCCGACTTACAGTGAACATTTGGACGGTCATGCCATCACAATTGCCACCCAAAGAAAATAATCTCTTCAAGCGTGTAGTAGTAAGTTGGAATAGTTTGAAAATAGTAGAAAATTAGTTACAAGTTGGAGTAGAATAAAGATCAATTGGAAAACTTTGCTTGCCATGTGCTCCTCGTTCATGGTTTGGAAAACCACGGCTCATACACTACGGTAGCATCAGACTTGGCGTCCATGACGTCAGTCAGTGAGTTACAGCCGACTCCTACGTATGAAGCGTGTCCAAACCATTCGTCCACTACATTTCCAAATGAAAGACTGCCATGTTGTTCAATTTCATTGACCTAATGCTTATTTTCTTCTTTATTTCTTGCTATTTTAGAAATGTTATGAGCAAAAGCAGTATAAGAATGGCTTGAAATTTGCCAAGCAGATCTTGTCTACCCCCAAGTATGCCGATCATGGAGGTGTGATGACTCTGTACATAGTCGGACTGTAAATCAAACGTTATCAGTGGATGCATACAGTAGAAAGATTGACCTTGTCTGATCAGCGATTATGTTTGACAACAGTTGTTTTTGCATCATCTTGTTCCAACTTACATTGTGTATAATATACTTTCCAATCGGAATGGAATATTTTCAGTAACAGTGCACTAAAACGTTCCCTTCATGGATATCACAAATATCCCCCTTGACGAAGGACCATGATCAACGGTCATCTCGTGGAATAACAATCTCCTAGTCTGCTACATCATCGTGTCAACCAACTGACATTATCTACAAATCTTCCTATCTTAGATGCGATTTACCCTACTTTCATATTGCAATGCAATGTTCCAATAGCAGTGAACGATGCTAGTTTGGTATTGCCATGTTGCTTGGATAATGCACGATGCTCAACACTTTCTTTATACAACTACTTTCATAGCTGCAAGCCTACTGATCCCTTGTATCAATTACTCAGTCAATTACTCTAGACTAGCATAGTCATTTTTCCCTGGACAGTCCACTTTATCCAATTGATTCTATAGTAGATAAGAAAAAAATAGCGCATCATCTAATCTGGAATGACGAAAAATGATCATTAAAATAGGGCTATCAATATTACCAGCATTGTAAATTACTTATGCAATGTAGCTGCTACTTGTATACAGTTAAAGAGACCTTCTAGTGATCTTCGATTAATAGGCAATAAATGATCGATATCTAATGGATTATGAGCATACGTATGGCTAATGGAATAATTCTACTAGTATTGAAGATTAATCGACGCTAAAAGCAATTGACTATAGTACTACACTGCTACTATTCAAACATACTGTACATACATATTAATAACCATACAGTGGCGTATATTAAGCGAATATACCTGCAAATACTTGATGAATAATAAATAGAATTTAACTATAAATCAACAAGTAGATACTGTAGTAAATATATCTACCCGTGTAATTAATCCACTTTTATTTGGAAATGAATAGATGTTATTCTCTGTAATGCACAAAAGGGCAGTAGTATATATATATTTCAAATTGGCTTGGACTCTACTGTAATTAACAAGTTCATTTTATTGAACTATTACTAAAAGTAATATCATACGTATATGCTATCGTAAGCTATTCTAAACTTAAACAATATTAACATCCAAAACTCTTAATAACATGGATTCCTTACCTTATAACAGAAACTTTGGCTATGAAAGGCTTAATTCTAAATTGCCTTGGCAAAAAAGAGGAAGCATTCGATTTAGTTAGGAGAGGTCTACGCAATGATTTAAAAAGTCAAGTCTGTATCCTACTGATTATTCTTCAATACTAATGGCGATTATGTAATCAGTGTAATTCTTAGTACAGTACAATACTATAAGACTAGAACTCAACTTCATCTTGTACTGTACATTGATACCTACCCTGTAACTGCTCGATTGTTTACTATATCGCAATGATATGTTTCATATGAACATCATACTTAAATACGCTAGAAAAATATTACAGTCTACTCGTACTAATTCGTACTACTTACTAGGAAGTATCAAATCGATAATTACAAGGGTATATATTGCTTCATGTTATACAGTCACGGTTGAAAGCATTATTGTGTTAACTTTTTACTACAATTATTGCACAATAGTACGTATATAGGCAAAGATAGAAATTTAATAATGAATTGTTGAATCTACTCGTACAATGGTATCATTGGCAATAGCCAAGTTAATCGCGCATAGCTAGATACAAATATCGAAAATTGCTACCGTTCCGTAGTAAATAATGTCATCAGATATTGTATAATAAAATCAAGATGCTCGTACCCCACCTGATACCAACTATAATAATAAGAAACGATAATTATAAGAATTTGTCCATAACTACACGCCAATAACCGTACGTAATTAATAAGGCTGGCATGTGTTTGGCTTATTGCAAAGATCTGAAAAGAAATATGATGAAGCGATTAAATGTTACAGAAATGCTTTAAAATGGGATAAGGTAGAAATTTATCCAAAAATATCGCAATCGTTTTAACTATATTCATCTAAAAATGGTTGTAATAGGGTTCCTAAATCAAAAGTATTGATAATTAATCTATACTACTCGACTTAATTTAATAATAGGATAATCTACAGATCTTACGCGATTTGTCTTTACTACAAATTCAAATGAGAGATCTAGAAGGCTATCGGGTAAGTATTGCTACGTGTTCTTTAGAAGATGCTAGGATAATGCTACATACTGTTATGTATATTTATCATAGTAAGATCCATTCACGGTACATAGTGATAAAGAAATAACTTCAATATTTACAGGACACTAGATATCAATTGCTAAAGTTACGCCCTGGTCAAAGAGCTTCCTGGATTGGTTATTCAATGGCATGTCATTTACTGGAGGATTTTGATACAGCCTTAGCGGTTCTGGAAGAATACAGGAAAACGCAGGAAGTGAGTAATTACATTTGCATAACTATTAACGTCTTAATACATGATTGTAATTACTTGGCAATTCTTGCGCCGTAAAATATTTTTAGTCTCTAAAACTACTAATTCTGTAGTAGCCCTCATCATCGAATTTATATCATAATATTTCATAGATTAAAATACAGTACCTGTTTAACCTTAGGCAGCTATTTCATATTTTATAATTGTACTGCTTCCTACATTTAACTATTCAATTATGATCCATAACTTTAGGTCAAATCATACGATTATGAATTTAGCGAGTTTCTACTGTATCAGAATTCGGTTTATAGAGAAGCTGGAAGAAACAAAGACTGTCTCGAACATTTGGAAAAGTATGAAAAACAGATTTGTGATCAAGTCAGTATTATGGAAGTAAAAGGTAATAGGAAAAGTATATCGTGTTCATTGACCGTTAACTCCAATTATATAACGGGAATAATGATAGCACTAAGAATTTTTACGTATGTACTTGTTCATAAGCCAATTACATTTTTTTTGGCGATTTTTTATTACGTAGCGATAGTCTCGTACAATCTAGGATTAAAGGACAAAGCAGAAAAGTATTATCGGCAATTAATTGATAGAAATCCAAGCAATAATGATTACTATACTGGACTCGTTAAAGTCCTTGAATTGTGTATGTATAACTAATATATAACTATTATGTAATATTTTTAGTGCTATACTGATTTTATTTATATCGATATGGTTATAGCCACTGATGAAATGATGGCAAATCTGTACTCAGAATTTGTTGAAAAATACAAATACTCTCATGCCCCCAAACTACTTAGACTGCAAGTTACATCAGGTAATTTAAAGTTAATATGTTTTACTAAAATAAACTTAAATTTGTAATATATGATTTCAAGCAATTAGGATAATCTTTGCTTCTCGCCTCCCCACCTTTAAGTAACTTCTTTTAATTTCTTTTAGGTGATACATTCAAACGGTATGTAGGTGATTATATAAAGCACGCTTTACGTCGAGGTTCTCCACCCCTATTTTTGAATATTAGACCATTACTCAAAGACAAAACAAAGGTATGCAATATTATTTTCATAAGTATATAGTTTTCTACCGCAAAAAAATCGATTAATTTACGATTATAATCTGGACTTTACCAGGCCAAAATAATAGAAGAATTAGTGCTTGACTACAGTCACAATTTGAAGAATCATAGCAAATTATTAACCGGTAAGTTCGTGAAAAAGAAGCATTGGCTGATTTATATCAATATTATACGAACGTCATTGCGCAAGAATGATATCCTGTAAACTTCTTTAATCATCACTTTTATAAAATTTTTTTCCATTCGCTACTGAATAAAAAGGCACGATACTTGTATACCACTTAGACCTTATATTTTTATGACCATCAAACTTATAGATGACGAAAATAAAGAACCACCCACAACCTACCTATGGACGCTCTTCTTTCTTGCTCAATATTATGATCATTTTAGAAAATTGGATGTTGCGATGAAGTATGTTGAGGAAGTTCTAGATCATACTCCAACACTTATTGAAGGATACACATTACAAGCAAAAATCTATAAAGTGTGTATTTTTTTGTAAAGTCATTAACCTTCTTGCCTTCTTACTGTGCAATTACTTGCTAACACATTCTATTTATCGAACAGCATGCCGATAATTTACAATTAGCAGCTAAATTAATGGATGAAGCTCGTTCCCTTGATACTGCTGATCGATATATAAATTCTAAATCCGCAAAGTATCAACTAAAGATTGATAATATCGAGAAAGCTGAAGAAACTTGCGCAATGTTTACCAGGGTAAACTTTGTGTATCATAAAAGCCTTATATTGGGTATTTCTTGTTAATTAATTTCCTTTATAACGGAGGCATGTAATAAAATGTTTTTTAGGAAGGTGTCTCGGCTATCGAAAATCTTAATGAAATGCAATGCATGTGGTTTCAAACTGAATGTGCTGCTAGTTTCTTAAGACAAGGAAAGATTGGTGAAGCATTAAAGAAATGTCATGAAATCGACAAGGTGCGCCCTAGAACTGCAACCTAATTCACTTTCCTGTAGATCACTATCTTTTAGATTTTTTAATAAGCGATATTAATATCCGAAATAAGTAATTTAATATTTTCATAACTTACAGCATTTTACAGATATTATCGAAGATCAGTTTGACTTTCATACGTATTGTATGCGTAAAATGACGTTAAAGGCTTATATCAGGTCTAATAATTTTGAGATAAATGTTCTTTATGTACTTGAAATTCTGCTACCTCTAACATTGGGTTTATCAAAGAAAATTTTTATTAAATTTCGACTTGCTTTTTGGCTTTATAGTATGTTAAGGATGGAAGATATATTACGTAGCCATCCGTTTTATTTTAAATGTGCAGTGTTGGCAATTCAGGTATGGAATGAAGTTTTACTGTAAATGATATTTAATAATCTACTGTAGGTTACTTACAAAGAAATATGTTCTTAAATAGGCCTATGTAAGTCTGCACGATAACCCAATTACGGAAACTGAAGAAGATACCGAAGTTAATTCTGGTAACTATGTGTATACAGTAGTATATAACACTATATTTTTAAAAGGCTAATGGTAACAGATTACGGTTTGCTTACTTTATAATGTTAAGACGGTCTGACGGCCAAAGAGTTAAAAAAATTAAAAAGTAAGCAAAGAAGAGCGAAGAAAAAAGCCGAGTTAAAAGAAGAGAAGAAAGGTTAAATATTTATTTTGTTTTATTTTATGTATACACTACAAATTTATACCTCGCTATTTATGTTTTGTCACGCTGCAGCTGACAGCAAAGACACCAATGATAAAAAGAAAGCAGACGACAACGCCGAACCTAAATTAGACCCAAAGAAATTGGTTCAGGTATCAATTTCGTAAGAAATTGCGTCACCCTATGATTTATAATGATATTTTTGCCTAGATGAGATTGTTACCTTGATTTATCTAAGATAACGAAAGAATTATTTCTATACCAGATACCAGACCCCCTAGATCAAGCGATCAAATTCTTACGTCCTCTTCAAGATTGGAGTGCTGAAACAATAGATACTCACCTGTATGCATTTGATATTTACTACAGGAAAGGTAAAGAACCATTCTGAGAAATATATGAACACCTTTACATTTAAATTTCATCTTAATCAGACAAATTTCAATCTATTTCTAGGAAAATACTTATTGATGCTACAATCATTGAAAAGAGCACGTAATATTGATTCGCAAAATCCTCAGTTGCATATAAATATTGTCAAATTTGCTTTAGCTGGTAGGTATCAAGAATCTTTAATTTTAGATTACGCTGGTAAATTTTAATTAACCAATTTACCTATTGTTTTAATAATATTAACACTATACTAAGTAATACATTTTTCGTCTACCACGATAGTTAAAGCGAAAGCAGACTTAAACAAAGCTGTATCTCAAGTTGTTGAAACGGAATTGGAAGTGTTATTAGAAGGAATGAAATTACAAGAATTTAACGATAATTTTATAGAAAGAAACAAGAATTCGATTGCACATCAAAGTGCAGGAGCTGAAGCGCTAAATATTTTAAATCCCTCAGCCTCTGATCGGGTCCTTCAATTGTGCTGTAATCTATCTTATGATCATATAGAAACAGAATTACCGGTACCATACTTATTACTAGTTGCATTATTACCTTATTTTTGTTAATTTGCAATTTCGTATCACGATATTTACTAGACTATCGCTTTATTGTAGGTGTGTGCGAAGGTGTACAAAAATTTACAAAAAGACACCTTCGGTAAAGTACCTGAAAGCGTCATTGAAACCTATAGAAAAAGTTGCAGCCAGTTATTTCCTTTAGCTGCCGTATTTCAAGATAATCAAACAGCATCAGAGACAAACGAAGTTGTTTCATCTTTAAGTGAACTGTCTGTAAAATAATAAGTTATATTAGTAAATTCTCTTAACCACACGATATTGTACAAAATACTGTTTATCATGGTTTTCAAGTAAAAGAAACGGTGTCATTATTGTAATCAAGTTTCTGTTATGTAATACTATGGTTGCAGATGACGGAGTAACCAAATGGCAATCGATATTAACGAATTTTTTTAGATTTGACGGAGGAAAATCAAGTTTGTCTTATGTATAATAACATATAGTCAGGCTGATGAAATAAATTACTGTAAACTGTAGTGCTTGAAAGTTTTTGAATTTTTTTTGGTAATCGTCTTGTTGCACGCAAGCAAGCTAATATTGTAATCCGAATTACGATTTTCATCTCAGCAATTTTGTCGTATACTTATTTGATGAAATAATGCTTCAGAAAATTTAGTTATGTTAAAAATGTGTGTCGGTGAGAATAAAATATATGTCGAATTTTGGCTTAAGTAGGATATTTCGACTTTTTAATAAATCTTTAGGCTTAATGCTTTCTTCTAATTAGAAATATATAGACTAAACAAGCTCGTGAGATAAGATGAAATATTTGGTCCTTTATTAAGTACTTGCATGTTTGCTTATATAAACTTCAGGTAGCTGTCACTGTGGTATACATAAACGTATGTTCTTATTTCTCATTTCGTGAATATTCATGTAGTGTGCAGGAGCGAAAAATTCTCTGTTACTAACTTTATAATTGAAGATAACTGTCAAACACCGTATTAACTATGGTTAATCTATCTAATAACTTGGATACCGTATGATGTTTGTTATTATATTATTCTATCGTTCTTTTGCTCTGATCACGGTAGTGTAACTACAGTTTAATGGTCTTGACAACTGATGTCAATTTCAAGTTACAAAAAAGCAGGTTATCTTCGTTGATTCATCAATTCTAGAATTACGAGTATTAAGCATACCCAATATTTATCGGAATATAATAAATAGCTGAAATTTTAAAATAAGTGGTATCAGTTGTTAAAGGCACACGTACACTTTGATACTTATTACGTAAGTACTTACTGTAAAATCTTATTTCGACACCTTTAGATTATATCAGTTCGATTATATATAATTATCTATCGCTATATTAAATTGTCAGAGATTAGTTATTGTGATAATCTATGCAACAATATCGTAATAAGGTTAGCAAAACTAGTTAAATATGTAGTTACAGTATCATTACGCCTTGCATTTCAATAGCGGATAGATTTCATTGCTGGTGTCAGTGAGTTGCACTGTATTATATAGGAGTATATACTCTAGGTTTTTTTACCTCTATGTAAACTACGTACGCGTATCAAGGCACTAAAATCTGTCTATCAAACACTTAAAAACACTTATCCCTAATTCTACAGATTCGTAATATTATCTTGGTATAAAAGGTGGCAATACCAATACACGGCATAAAGTGTTGTAAAAGACAAGACCAACGAGCCGAATAGAAACAGTCATGTCATTTGAAATATTGGGTAGATCATATAATATGGGGTCTTGATAAGAGACTCAAACAGCAGACATAAGTGTTCTTGTGTAGCCAGTTGATATTATCCAAGTTAAAATTTGATTAATAAAGAAAATACGTCGGTGATGTAAACGATAGATAGCCTCGGTTTTGAGGTTTGATGATAGAAAAGTAACAGTCGACAGCAATTGAGCACAGATTTAGCATACACACCATTGGAGGTAAATGTAAGAAATAAAACAATTCTACAACTAGTTGTACCTTCAGCATAAGTAAATTATTGAGATACTAAAAACCTGCAACACTAACGGTTAAACTTGATAAAATATCGGAGATAATAGAAGCTCGAATTAACTTATATGGAATAGATTGAAAACTTTCATCATGAATTAAAATATATAATATAAATAAATTAGCAAGAAATCCCATAATACATATACAATAAGATGCCACTGGCTAGACTGGCATAGTAGCAAAAGATATTAAGACTACCATATGTTATACTACTATCAGATACGTTAGACATTATTACAGCCACAGCTATTTGGTGTCAAATAAATCTTGTAAGTAAAGAGTTACTCAATAGTGTATACATTTCTGTATGAATCACCTATTAACTATTCATATTTACTTTGAAAATAATCAGCTATGAATTTATTTTATTATACAGATAAATTAATACTCAATAACGATTGACCAACGTAGATCATTCTCGTACATGATATCAGGCAATGCATACGTTTATCAATAAATAAATAACTGTAAAATATTTACACGATTGTCTGTACAGTATAGCATTTAATAATGAATTTAATGAAAACACCTGATTGGAAATTTTAGAGTTAATTCATTCTTGTATTTATTACTGTACTATTATATCAATTTCCATTAGGTGTATTAAGATTAAATTATTCATTCAACCTATTCATAAAGCTCCCAATTCATATCAAGCTGATATTTTACGGTAATTACTTATTTAAAATTTACCATAAATGTTCCATGTAACACATCTTTTCCAGGATTATTCTATACACTATAAATTGCAAAATAATTTCTTAAGAACAAGTTATACTATCTGCCACAAACCAGTTCTGTGATAAGATTATAAAAAGGCCAGATCTTGTAATATTCTTCCCAGACTATGCATCACGGCACTAAAATCTGTCTAACAAATACTTGGGAATAATTATCCCTAATTTTGTAGATTCTCAGCCAGTATAACGCCTTCAGTCTTTCGTTAAGCACTAAACTTAAGAAAGGGCTTGATTATACAAATAGTAATCTCATTTTCATTTCTTCAGTTGCTAGAAGTTATAATGTGTATCAATAGTGTCTATAAATCAGGTAATAAATTTATTTCAAAATGCCTAATTAATACAGCAGTATATAAAAATGTAGACATCTAATAAATCAACACAAGGGATAGTCAGTTTACAATACTTCTATTCACAGAATCATAAAGTCAGAATATAGAATACAATCTATTGTGAATTAGTCACAATAGCATATTATATTGCAAATCATCTAAGTATGAACTATCTCGTAATCTGAATAAGGCTATGCCACTAAATATCACTAACTTCTCTACTATGAGATAACACCGTAACACATCGTCACATAACAAGAATGAAGTAAAACTAGGAAGGTTTTCTTAGTTGATACCATTAATAAGTGTACATAGTCTATACTAAGAAACAAATAGTATTAGGCATTGTGTGTTGAACGAATTAAATATTATCTGCCAGGAAATGGGTTTGAATCTAATTATATAAGTAATATCATCAAAAATAATTAAATTCCGCTAATAAATGCTACCGTATGCAAATTTGTATACTTAAGGGAGATTTTCAACTGGTTAAAGGTGTTAATTACTATAGATGTGATATTGCGACAACTATATTATTTAATATATAATAAAGTAATAATAATTAAAACAGCACACTATACTGGCATAAGAAAAATGTAATGCAAAAAGCTCGCTATGTTTTGTGGATACAAATAATTTTCTTTTTTATAAACCTAGCATAATTAATGTCTGAAATAACAATCAATAAGCTATAGGTTGATAGTCAAAGTAGCGTACCATATTGATCTCTTTTGCTAGCTTTTCTAATAATTTTTTCCCCTATTAGCGAATACTAAGGTCATCATTATAGTGTTTGTTGAAAATCTTAGATCTAAAAACCGTACATAAAATACGACAATTTGAAATACTATTGCATTACCCAGTGATTAGTCCTATTGTCACCTTCAGGGAGTCTAGGCTATCCTTTTTGTTTGTGAATGAATCTATTATATTTCTTACAAAATATTATGAATTTTTGTTTATGTCAGTTAATAGCTGAAAATGATACTACTTTGTAATGTATTATTACGAACTTAATAGTTCTTAAAATTGGAGACTATGGCAAATTTTTAGTGAAAGAACTATTTGTTACAACTATATCTAAGCCAAAATTTTAAACACTTTTGATGTTAAATTTCGACAACATTGACCTGTAGACTATAAATTCGATTGAGTAATCAAGTAGATGTATTCTAAGAGCTTGATCAAGTTATATACTATTCTAATAATGAGTTCCATTAAAATCATTCAATTCTAGAAATTTATTCGGTAATTATATTTTATACATTATACTCCCATGGATCGATAAAGCGAATACAGAATGTCAGATAATGTTTACACTTCGACTAAATAAAATAAAAGTATTACTCTAAACAATAGATTACCGAAATAGCTGCTTTCACTACATACATCTGTTCTATAATCATGCTGAAATTTGAGTGACTTTAAAACATTTCAACAAGGATACAAAAAATAATATTATGATATTGTCCGTTATTGTCTTCAATTCTATGTAATACTTAAAGCCATTATAGATATTAATACTACAAGTAAAGGCTAAACCATAACTCTTCTTTTATTATCCAGTAACATTAATTAAAATAAAACATATATTATTCAAGTATGAGTCTACTTTTAATACGGGGCCATTACTTCGAAATTCTGGTAATAACACTGCGGAAAATAATAAGGTTAAAACAGCTAACTAATCCAATAAAAAGTCTGCATCACGTAATTAAGATCAAAATTGAAGATTTGAAAGATTTGGACGGTTTGTACCCAAATACACTTACTATAATTCGATGTATGCATTCAAATATCTGAAATTAACTCAAGATTGACATAAACCGAAATTATATACATCAAATCTAATATGAATAATTCTACTTATGAGAATAATCGTACCATCGATATGGGCTCAGTCATATACTATTATACAAGTATAGCTCTTGTTCCTCTTTTTGCTTTCGCATTTATATTAAATGTCTTCTTACTCTATGTTCTACTTCAAGAAAAGGTCTTTCAAAGTATCACCTATAAATTAATTCGCATTTCAGTTATATCGGATACGATGTCCAGTCTAACAGCTGTTATTGGTTATTCTCTTGTAGCGCAAGATTTCTCTTATCAATCAGGTAAATTATTATGCCAAATCATTTTTAATCTCGCATTTACTTTTAATGGAATCTCCATGAATAATTTATGTTTAATCGCTATGGATCGTTATTTTGCAATTGTTAAACCGCTATCTCGTTTCCATCGACGATACCGTCGTCGAATCTTCTTTATCGAACAAATCGCATCATGGTTATTATCTATATTCTACAATTTATTTCTTGTACCTTATATTGGCGGAACCCCAGAAGATCCAACACTTTGTGATGTACCTGAAATCGATCGTTACATTGCAATTCCTATCATTATTATCATGTTTTGCATTATGCAATATATTCTACCATGCTCATTGATAGCTAATATTTATTGGCGAATAATCTATCATCAAAAGCATTATGTACGACCAGGACAAAATTCAAGACAACCGCAAGAGCGAGAATTGAAGAAAAAAAAATTTATTAAAATACTAATTACTATTACACTTTGGTATGTTTTAACAACTTGGCCATTTTTCGCTGGTATTACTGGTATGGCAGTAACTCGTCAATCAGTTCTCGCTATACGTAAAAGAAATCTGGCTGAATTTCTATTCCTATTTTACTCATTAGGGACGAGTATTGGTATTACTCTTATTAATCCATTCATATATCTTAAATTCGACTCAAATATAAGAACTAAGTTTTTCGATGTATTACTAAGAAAGAATAAACAAGGCAATTAATTATCAATACCAAGTAAAATAAAACCTTCAGCCCTTACAGATAAGACTACTTCATCGTCAGCAGCAAACTCAATCCCAGCAAAAAAAAAGAAAAAGTCAACAAATATCCCACACATCCAATTGTATCATTCATGTAAAGCCTGGCTAAGAAGAGGGAATCGCAATACCCAAATTGTTGCCAAGCACTAGTAAATCAAGTCAGCGACCGACAACATCTAAAATAACGCAAATTAGTCGCACTACGATAGCTATTGAAAGTTTACTACCAGGCTACATCCCAGATGAAGAATAAAAGCATAATCTAGCTATGCAAGTAAAATTCATTTCTACAGCAAAGTTCATTTAATCACATAAAGATTACCCAATTTCACTAGAATTATAACGTAGCGGACATGTTACTATGATGTTCAGATAGTCGATAATTAATCATTTTAATATGTCAAACAGTTTGGGGTTGATGGAAAAAAATTAAACGCTTTCTTAGAATTTCAGCTTGGATGATAAAAGAGTCGTCATTATATGAAAATATTCCTATCGTATCATTTATTAATTTTTAAAGATACAAGTATCAAAGAAACCTGACGATATATTATGACCGTACATTCTAGAACATTAGTAGCAGTAGCAGTAATGAAATACTAAAGTAGAGAAATAGTCATATTCGAAATGTATTTCTCTACATCTCTTTCTGTCGTTTCTGTAAATAATATCATTGAATGTTACATAAAATGAAATTAAACGACAATTTTTAATGAAAATTTTGAGGTATAGCACAAATAGTTTTTAATTTTAAATAGTATTAAGCAAAAATTTTATCTCTGCCTTTAAGAAATATTTAATAGCTGAAAGTCTAATGCCAGGTATCTTCTATTCCTGAAGAAGTTCTCTTGCTCTGATATCGAATGTATCTATTTAAGAGAGGTTGGCAAATATTAATTCTTGTATTAGGTCCGCTTCAGATTTAAAATATCCATCTCTTCAGTAGATAAACATGACAATTTAACTATAGGACTCTTTCACTTAATATATTAATTTTAATTGATTATATGAGAAAATAAACTCCCTAACATTAGTCGTAATTACTAATTTATATCAGAATAGTGTCTTTAATATAAACAAAAACTTAATTCTAGAAGTTTACCGCATACCAGATTCAGCTGTAAATAAGAGTCATTTATAAATGATTAAAAGTAGACGACTATGTATAAATTATATCATTTACATTAAACGGAAAGATGTAATATGTTAAAATATACAACATTTCACTTTTAGCCATAAATAGAAGTCAATTTCAATAAAAAATAATTATAACTCGGCAGCTAGTATACCGTACAGCCATTATCTCTTCAATAATAATGAGGCTATATTACAATTAGGTGTAAGCTATATTATTTTACTGTTACGACAAGCTCAAAGTTTTTATAGCCTTTTATGATATATCATATGAACAATTATGATGATGTGAATTGACTAGGTTGCTACTACTATCTATTTCTAAACGTTATAAATTATGATCTACAGCTATCATATTTCCTTTTCATTACGCTATTCATTAGTTTGTATCATATAGTTCGCAGTCTTTGAATTTGGCAATAAATAATATTCTTATAAGGCAACCGTAATCAACAGATTCGCATTAGAAGCCAATATGATCAACCAAATGAAACATTCTAACCACTATTTCTCACTAATTAAGAGTGCTTTAATATAATCATTGCCTGTGATTAGCTAACCGTAGTTAGATCCTAGATCTCAAAAATAATACAAATAATACATTAAGAATGAACTTGAAGTAGAAATCTATCACAGTTCCTAAGATAGTTTACTTTTTAATTCTAGACAATTATAATTTATGCTACGGTATCTATTAAATTATGTATAATTTTATAAAAAAGAAAGATTGGGTTATCAGATATATAATAAATGCTCTTCATGTAAGTAATATACTGAAATAAATGTATCTTAACCATATGAATCATGCCTTAACTATCAAATCTGAAAATTAAAAACGGCCAACAATAACTTTAGTCTGTCATATAAAACTGAAGATAGTAGTCGAACGAAGTATATGCATAAGATTATATAAGAAACTTTGAAATAAATAGGTGCCCTAGCCACCGGCATTCTAAGCTTTTGGGTACAATTTTTAGTCTTAACCTTATTATGAGCTGATAATTAATGTTATCCAATCTAAGTCTTCTACGGATATTCACGGAAATAGAGATACCATAACTAGTTAATACGCAGAACTGATGCAAATACAAGATCATTAAAGAAAGAAAATTTACGATATTAGCAAGATTATCAATATAATAAAACGGCCAAGCAATCAGAATATAACATAAAGCAATAGTAATCAACATTTTAATAAACAATCTTTTTTATCTTTCTTCTCCTTCTCTTTCTCCAACTAGAATTTATCCAAGTTAAAATTTGATTAATATAGAAAATACGTCGGTGATGTAAACGATAGATAGCCTCGGTTTTGAGGGTTGATGATAGAAAAGTAACAGTCGATAGCAATTGAGCACAGATTTAGCATACACACCATTGGAGGTAAATGTAAGAAATAAAACAATTCTACAACTAGTTGTACCTTCAGCATAAGTAAATTATTGAGATACTAAAAACCTGGAACACTAAAGGTTAAACTTGATAAAATATCGGAGATAATAGAAGCTCGAATTAACTTATATGGAATAGATTGAAAACTTTCATCATGAATTAAAATATATAATATAAATAAATTAGCAAGAAATCCCATAATACGTATACAATAAGATGCCACTGGCTAGACTGACATAATTGTAAAAGATATTAAGATTTCTATATATTATACTAATATTAGACATATTAAACATCAAAGCCTTACTCATCGTGGTTGTAGAGTCTGGTAAATCTTTTAAAATTAAGACTGAAAGAGTTGTTCAATATTATATACATTTCGTTGTGTAACCTGATACTGATTGATTAATTATCAACATTTACTTTAATATAATCAACTTAAATGTAATTCGTCCAACTTATTCATAAAATTGTTAATTTATATCAGCCTAATATTTGTAATTATTATTTATTTAAAAATTTAACATAATTGTACCATGTGACATATCTTTTACGGAATTATTCTTTACACTATATAAAGTTAATTGATCTTGAGAAATTAGATTATATTATTTTACCACTATCTGTAATAATTGTGATACTTTATGTCCGTAAACACAGTACGAGTACGCATTTACAATATTAGTATCCTGATATAGTATATTGCAAGCACGACTTATGAAATATGCTTATACGTTTTCCTATACTTAAATTATAGTTATACATGAATGGCTACATGAATTAGTGCTTAAAAGGATAAAAGCTTATCGTTTTATTTCAATCCTATAAATAAAATTCCGATAGAAATTGTAACATTAAGTTAATTGACATTTTACAACAGAAATATTGCTCAAAGCCTAAACTAAACTTTAGAATATGAATGCGTTACTTTATCTTTCTCCTTCGTCTTTTAATAAATTTATTCATGTTGGCAGTAATATAAAGAGTGCAGTAATAAAGAGTAAAGTCACTAAATAAATTGTTTCTACCTGTATTTGTATAGAGTCTCTCTACAGTGTCTTTCAAGTTTTAAATTTCGAGATGTAACAACGTATCTACTTTCAGCTTGATACTTTACCATGATATTGGATGTTTACCCGTAATAGACAAGAGCTCTAATTCGAAACGACCAGATCTAATCTTAGAGCAATAAGACCCATGGAACAGATCACAATATAAAACATAATTATGTGTGTACACTACTCTGTAGTTTACTGCACATGATACTGTAAATAATAAAAAATTTGTTATGTAATGTCTTTATATAGTTAAGCGGTAGATATGTTTTAATCAAAAAATCCTGCTCTATAAGCCTAAAGTCTCCACTTTACACGCTTATTTTCCCCAGGTGATTACCTACTACGAAGGCACTGAATCAGAATCACGATATACGCCTATATATTTCGTGACAATAATTACGTATTAGTCTTAAGTGCAAAGATTTTAAGTTGATGCAAAGTCCGATAAATTTAATACCGATTTATGTAAATCTTCTCCACATCAACCTACAAAGCAGCTAACTCTAGACAAATTTATTAAATAAATAATAATGTAGACAATTTAAAAGATGATATATTCTCGTATGTAGGAAAACCTGAAGACCTGTCGAATAATAAACCCATATCACTTCGCTCCCAAGGTGGGCTCATTAAAAGGGCGGTTACGATAATAATATAACAATTATTATTACGATTCGTTGCAATTTGGTTCTAGAATGATGGACCGTAATGCTAAAGATAGACCATATACATGAATGTATTGATAATGATTCTTAATCAAGTTTTTATCTGTCTATTAAACCTTTGCTTATTATTGTACTATTAATCTGCATTTGCAAAGAGAAATTAAACGTCTAAGAGCAGATCATCAAGTTCGTCCTCATCGACATTTGCCTAGTACAGTGTGACACAGCCTCCTATCGTCAGGAGGCTACGGTAACAGCACATCTTCTCTAGACCAAACTTCAAAAAATTTTTGAAAGACAACTAATTCATAGTGCAGTGAAATAAAAAATAATTAATTATCTATGCTAAAATAGTTTATAAATAAAAATAATTATCTATATAACGGTGTACAACATCACAGATACGCACACTATTGATATGTACCAAATTATCTTACTAATAAAATAAGATAAGAATTCGGCTATAAAAAGTAACTCTATGGCAAATGGTAAACCAACTAAATATATATTGTAATGAATGGATGGCAACGGAATATTATTTTAGACTTATTTTCATTGGTTTCATTATGCCAGGTTTAAATTACCTTAGCAAGCGGAAGGTAAACACAATATAACATAACTTCTAAAAAAATAATCAAACTAATAAAGAAATAGCAAATGCTGATCTACACTACAATGTTACTTCATTTCGCAGTAATAAGTAATCCATGGCCGGAAATTATCAATTATGTAACAGCTTCATAGATTACATAATTTTAATAAATGTAAAAACAGTTTTACTACGAATGATTGATCATTTTCATCTATAAAATGGATAGACGTCCTTTACTTACAGTTTCATGGTTTCGACTGCTTTCTCTTCTTTTAGGCGCCATTGATTCGAAAATTCTTATTGCTGTTTCGTGTACACATTCTCATAAACTACTAAATTTCTGTATTTTTTTATTGCGGCAGTTTGATTTTTGAAGTTATTACTGTTACTCTTACAATACAAAAATCAATTTAGAGAATTAGACTGTAAAACTTAGTAATATTCGTACACTTCAATATGCTAATAAATATAAATCTTGCCTATAGGGTTGCATTGATTTTATCAAATTTAATTGAGTTAATACATACTGTAGTTTCTTTCACTTAATCCTTGACAGTTAGTAATATTCCTATAGCTATGTAATAGTGACGGGATTTACATAAGCACTATTAATTTAGAAGATAAGGAATATCGCATATACTTCCTGCGGTTAGTGATAAATATAATGCTAATCTATATACGGTACATAAAGTTTTAATTTGCTTCTTAGCTTGCAGGGAACTACCTACATCTGTTTCCTCTACTTATTACTAGATAAAATCAGAAATCGAAATTATTATTAAATTGTGGTAATTTCTTCTTACTTTTTCCTTGGTAGAAAATAATCCACACAGTAGAAATTTTACTGAAAATAATATCAGCTTCAAAATAGAATACAGATTAAATCAGAACATATAACTATGAATAGGTTTATACGTAAATCTTCAGCTTTGCCCCGTTTAACAAAAAGGTGATTATGGTATAAGGCAATAATATTGCAAAATCGATGCCAAAATATATTAAATGATATAATCTATAGGCAATAAGTTTATTAATTCGTTAGACATATGCTTCAAGCACATTAGTAAATATGAATTTATCTATCTCCTATAAAATTTTTATCAATTATATACTGTAATAGGACTGATTAATAATTGTAAATTTCCTATAGAGTTTCATATCGGTAAAATTAGAACAAACATTCTACCGTAGCCATTTAGTAGAACAAAATGACGGACAAACACCATTTAAATTTAGGAAATCTCGTGAAAACTAGTAGCTTGCTCACTTACTATGCTTCATATACTATCTTTTATTTTAGCTGATCATAGACAAGTAGAGTGAGTCCGCAGTAATATTAAGTTGCACTTTTACTATGTCTTAACTTGCACCATAATAGCTTGTAATTGGGAACCTTCATTAATGGTCAGTCGAAAACTCCATCATAATATGACTATCATTAGTATTAATCGCCATGGATGTTAGTAGCATTACCTAATTTATAAATCATTGCTATTTTTATTTTACATCATATGGAAAACTTTTATGTAGTCTATTAAAATTGCAGTTTATAACACATTAAGTAATTTGAGGTTGGCTTCAGGATTTATATATTTAAAAATATGATTTCAAATAGGGTCCGACTTTGAAGCTATAACTGGTGGTTAAGGCACAACCTTGCCATTATTTATAGCGACGAGTAGTACCTGAGTACTATATTCGTATTATGATATTCCTCAGATTCTTTACCTAAGTACTTCTTGGTAAAGAATACTTTTACTAGAGGAGTTTCACCCAACTCGTTCTTAGTGAGAGATACTATAAATTAAATAATTTTTAATAGATTCTATTCATCAATACTCTTATAATCACAAATGTAACACTATCTACTTGTAAATACTAATGTCTTACCTTACTACTACTTTGATTGTTCAACCGATCTGATTTGGTTGTAAAAAATAACTGGTAAGTGCTACTGAGCACTATGCTTATGAATTTCAGTAAATTAAGTACTAAATGGGCGATACTGAAAGTACTTAAAATATCACAATAGTTTTCAACAACTATGATAGCAGTAGAATGGTATCACTACATATCCAATAATCTATGTCAAGAGTAGCAGAATTCAAATGAAAAAGAACCAGTAAGAGCGTAAAACAAACAGGCTTGGATGAGTTATACAATCGAAAGATTAGAGCTTATTCAAAACATTTCGAATACCGATCCCCTTAAATTTAGCTAACTCCAGTTAATAATTACCTTAATTAACCAGTATTAGAATTGTTCTAGGGCGATAGTATGAATTCAGATTTCACCCTTAAGACTTGATGATAGTAGTTACATTACCTTAGCTACTAAAGGATAACATAATATATGCGCTAGTACGTATTAAGACTGCAGATTTTAAGGCTAAGCAGAAATAAAAATTAGGCGTACTGGGTCGGTTACCGTGTTATAAATTGAAAATATCACCATCTTATTGAAGTCTTTTCTTGGCAAAAATAGCAATTACAAATAGTACTGTAGTAGTACAAATATTTGTTATTAATCCTAAATTTCAATCACCAATTGTTGCGATTGAGAGAAAGAACGATCGTTTATTTCGCTTTACCTCTCTCGATACTTTTATGTTTTAAATTATGTTACCCCTAAAATTTTATCCTCACTTGTGTAAATGACATTGCTATCATATCAAAATAGGCCATACTCTTGATTATATTATTTTATTAACCGGTTTACTGTGTTAAATTATTTGCTTGTACAAGTATGCCACTTAACTGCTTTATTGTATATGTTAATTGATTCCTTCATTTCCCTTCTACTAGCTGGCTCCCTTTACTATGGTTGATAACGCCAATATTTTTCTACATAACTTTATAAATAATCAATTAACAGTTTTGTAATACTATATGTATTGAAGTTTTGGGTAATTTAATTGTTTAATTTTCAAAATTAGTCTCAATTGTTAATGCGATAATGCCAATATTTGAAACTAACATGGAATATATCCTATCTGAAGAATATGCTGACAATAATTAATTTACGAAATAAGTACTACACTTCAGTTAAGAGTTGACAAAAATAAAATATGACACTTCTTCGATAATGTGAGGCTGTGTTCCAAGATGTTTGCTTACTTAAAATGAATTCTAAATATTCATTTCTCAAATATTCATCAGCTTTATTACTTTACTGTTCTAGATGATATAAAATATAGCTTATAAAAATCATAGTTTTGTAGCATGAAAAACAAACAGTTATTTCAGTAGGACCTCTTTGCAAGCGCAAAGAGGTGTACCCCATTATGATATAGATAGACAGTTTAGCTAAGAAACAGCCATTGCAACCCATCACGGATCATACCAATGATAAACTTTCAAGATTATAATTTCTTAAATTGTAATTACGTAATATACCAAATGGTAATTTTAATCAAACAGTTTGATCCGTACACTGTCTTTTGTAAAATTATTTTAACAGATAAATCAAATAATCCATGCGCTTAGTATATTATTTCAACATCGGGTATCAATCCAGGTATTGTCAGCACTTCATTAGGCTTTTGGATAGCAGCCTGTTTTATTGTCGATGAATGAGGAATCAATTTGAAATTATTTGGTTCTAGAGACCGGCCAATATGAGATGACCTAGGTGGTACCATTAGTTTATTGCGATCTAGTTTAGCTATTGTTACTTTTCTACGCGGTAATTTAATTTCACGCTGCTTAGTAAGTGCAATTTTATGTTTTTTCCGTGTAGCTTGTGATAACTCTATTGGTTTTGTCTTGCTCGATACTGATAATGCTTTTCTCTCCTTCTTTCTTCTGAGTAAAATTTCTACGAATTTAGCTCTTATATTGGCATCGAATTGAAGGTAAATAAACGGATTAATTACTGTAATACAAATGCTGGTTCCAAGCGAACAAAATAAGAAGATAAATATTATTGGATCCTTGTTACGAATTGTGATAACCGATTGACGAGTTATTGCCATTCCAAAGACACCAGCATAATAAGGCCAAGTCGTTAAAATATAACATAATGTAATGGTCATAAGTATCTTATTAAATTTTTTCTTTTTAGCTTCATGATCTCGCTGTGAAAATGAATTTTCTCCAGGCCTAACGTAATGCTTCTGATGGTGGACAATTCGCCAATAAATAACTGTTATAGTTGTGCATGGTATAACATATTGCAGGATGCAGAATAAGATAATAGTTATGGGAATAAATAGATGATCTTTAATATCAGGTATATCGCAAAGAGTCGTATCAGCGTGAGTTACCCCAATATAAGGAGCAAGGATAATATTAAAGGCAATAGATAAACTCCATGATATAATTTGTCCAATAAAAAATGCTCGCCGACGATGGCGTTGATGATATCCCGAGAATGGCTTGACAATGGCGTAGTAGCGATCAATAGCGATTAAAAATAAATTATTCATGGAGATACCATTAAATGTAAAGACTAAATACATGATGAATTGGCAGAGTAATTTACCCGATTGATAGGGAAAATTTTGTGTAATGAGAGAATAACCAATAGCAGCAGTTAAACTAGATAAAGCATCAGATATAACTGAAATACGGATTAACTTATAGGGAATACATTGAAAAGCGCTACCTTGTAATAAAACGTAAAGTAAGAAGATGTTAATTATAAATGCGAAGGCAAATACCGGAATTAATGCCAGACTGGTGTAATAGTAAAGGGCGATACCAAGATCGAAAGTTTTATTAATTATAGAATCATTCATGATTAAGATTTACAGCTATCTAACGGCAAGCATTTAAATCTGACATTGAACACGTCCCTTTTGACTTACTATTACAGAGTAATTACTGCCAGTAAACTGAGAGAAAGTTCTACAGAAATAAAATTAAATTTATTTCTGAATCATCATTAGGTAACATTCAGAGATTTTTTCCGACAGAGTTAGGGTGACACCGTTAATAAACTATCAATCGTACCATAAAATCCTAATCAATCTTTAAACTGATTACTTTTATATTTCTATATATTTCTTTGTTTTTACAATCAGATGTTACAATTAAAATACTAAGATTCTTCTTATCATTATTTAACAAAAAATTGAATAGCTATTAACAGTAAATAAAATTGAGTTAAGTTATCTTTTTCATTTTATATTTCTCTTACAATAATACTTGTCCTTATAACAATTCTCGACTTGAAGATCAATCCAAAACTGCTCTAAACAATGATCATGATCAGCTGTCATCGATTCAAATATCCTACCATTACTTATACCAAAATTCAACCTGAGGGTTTTAATACCCATCAGACCAATAGAACGATATTTCTATGACATATTTTGCCTTAAATTAGCTGATGATAAGTATGAATTTAATAAAGTAATCATTACATCTGTCGACCGTTATAGTAGATGGCCTTCTCATTCAACCTACTTCACGTAAATCACTGCGGGTCATTATATAATTATCAATAGTTTCTATATTGAAACAATTAAAATTTGAATAGTAATAATAACCTGAAATTTTTACATTTTAATAAGAATTAGGACCAATATTTTTGTAAGTATTGTCCCAAGGAATTGATCACCACCCTTTTTGTTGTTTAGCTTAATCATGTTTGATATTTGAATTGTGTATTTGGTATAGCTACCTAAGCGTAACTAAAATTTTGCAATGACTACAAATTATTATAATCATCACTTCCGAAATTTAATTGAAGTTGCTACACAAATCAAAAATATTTTAATTCATGTATTACGTAATAAAATTATTATTAAGGATTCGTTAACTGTAACAAATATGTAATTGAAGTAGTATCATTGGATAAGAGAATAATTAAAAATTGCATTTTATTATTGATACAAACTTATTATAATGCACACCCACATAAATAAAGTTCGTACTGATTATCTTCATTATATATTTTTCATAGATAAATTGATTTTTCCAAAAAGCTCTGCAGAAAATTTTATCTGAGTAGATTATTTAAATGACTAGAAACTTAAATTTCGTACTATCCCGTATTATTAAAGAGAAAAAAGTTTAAAGTTATCGGTACGAAACATTTATCTATCCTGCAGTGACAATGTGCTGCTTGCTATATTGCAGTATCGTTCATGGAATTGCCTCTAGTTAGCCTGAATAATACTGAGAATGAAAATTTCTCACAATTTGACATTTACAAATCATTTCCGATATAAGTAAGACTAAAATTAGTTCCATGATTTACATACAGCGTTTTGATTTGCAACAGCATCATTCGGTGCATTTTTGCTCGATATCTTAATGATATAATCACTTTACGATGGTATGCAGTCACCATACTCGTTCGTAGAAGAGGATTTAGTGTTGCTATAATAATAACAACATTGCCTGTACGCGATGGGCGGTATGTCTAGCTGTTACTGATATTACTTTGCTAAATTAGACGGGAAACGAGCTGACTTAAATTATAAACTATTCATCATGATTGCTATTACATAAAGATTACATCGAATTTATGCTTTATTTCGTTCACATGAATTAATCAAATATCTGATCTAATCACAGTATTTATTTCTTATTCCAAATGTTAATACTAACCTATGAACGACATATTGATGCCTTAAAGAGCGAATTACTTTTTATTTTAGTATATCAGATAACCTAGGCAATATCAATAAAATATACTGCACTAGCAACGAACTAATTATGTACTAAATAAATCTTTTGAAAACTAAAGAAGCTCGTTGTTGTTGTAGTCTAAACCGATAAACAAATTGATCAATGAAACTAACTTTTGGATTATCTCTATTATCTTATGTCTAATAACACAGACGATACCGCGTCGGCAAGATTTATTTTGTTGGCTACGAATTCAATGCAAACTAAGTACTGTACGTGTATATCATTTTAAAAATTGAGGATGTTTGTTACTAACGTTAATGCTAAAACAAAAGCATTACTAAAACTAATTAAACAATGTAATTAAGAGAAGAATTTATTTCTTGTGTTGTAGCTATTAATAAAATATCTATTACTTAATTAGTTCTAAAAAAATCTTCTGTAAACGTCATCAGGAGCATTATAATCTAGCAATTGTAACAACCCCAATATTATCAATTTCTATACGTATGCTGCCTGAAAATATTTACGCATGTATCGCTGTATGATTTCTTTGATTGGAATCGTTACCAGGTAACTTAATCGATAGCTATAAAATCGATTTTCAAATTTGGATTATTCGGGTGGCCCGATTAACAATACAGATTATTCTTGACTATTGGAAAATATAGTAACATTTCACGTAAGGCAAAGTGAATCATATTTATTGCTACCAGGGTATGATACGAAGAATTTTAGAGGTGTAATGGAACAATTTAGCTTCATCATTTTTATTCTTATTAGGGCGGAGTAGTCGGTATTTTTTAACACAGTATACTCGTAAGCCATATTTAATTATCGGATGCAATCATTCTATTCTCCACCTAAGACAATACACATATTGTAAGTTATAGTAATGCGGATATATCTGTCGACTGAATATTACTACGCGAATGATGGCGTAGTAATATTCATTCGACAGATATATCCGCATTTATCTCTTTCTTAATATCAAGTCGACTGAACATTACTACGCGAATGATGGCGTAGTAATATTCAGTCGACAGATATATCCGCATTTATCTCTTTCTTAATATTAAGTCGACTGAACATTACTACGCGAATGATGGCGTACTAATATTCAGTCGACAGATATATCCGCATTTATCTCTTTCTTAATATTAAGAATCGCTTTACTTAGTAATATTGGAAAATAGTGTGAGACTGGAACAACGTTAAAATGTTGGTGATAACACAAAAGACTGTCCTAGAAATATCTAAATTACGGTACTTTTTTACGCTAACACAATTTCATTCTCCTATTCCATAAATATTTACGAAATTCTGCTAATGGTAAGACAGAAAATTAATTGATAGTTGTATTATGAATTCTATTTCATGTATAAAGTAGAAAGAATGAAACCTTTGGTACGAGCACCTAGTATGAAATTAGCGATATCAGCGTAAATTGTCAACTTTGTAAGCGATTTTAGTTCTGTAATTCATGGGAAAGCATGATTGAGAATCTGAAAAGTAGCTAGAATAGCAAAGTAATATTACTGTATGACAATTATAGCACAAACATGGCCATTACGAAGAAAAGATGTTAATAGTATCTTTATAATTGACATTGATTTATTTTCAACCCATTCGATTATATTCTTTACATAAACACTTTCGTAACAATGAAAGTAACGAGTTTCCTGCTGGTATTTTACCATTCGTTTTCAGTAAGTACTTTCAATTATAACTAACAATCAGGATGCCTTTGACTTATACGTATAATACGGTACATCTTAGCAAACATGGTTTATGTACAAAATTATCAGGATAAAAATTAAATAAAATAATGTACGAGTTGATATTATATTGTAGGCTCTCGTTGTTGAACGTATGACGTTGTAAACGTAGCCACGCTATATGAACCAGAATTTATCAGTCATTACTCTGGATAAGTATTCTCCCTTAAAGTAGGACGTTGTCTGTTATATTAAATTGTAAGCAACGTCATAACATGACAGAAATGAAGACCTAGAAGTTTGAAACTTGGGATGACGAAGACAGTTTCAGTGAAGGAAGATAGCGGAAATGAAGCATTACAGTTATACAGCGTACAGTATAAAATCCGTAAGCTGAAATATTATTAATAGAATTTGGACTTTCTACGTTGCGTTGATTACCCTACTATGACTGATCACACTGTAAGCTAGGTAAATAAAGTAAGTTCGTTGGCGTTTCTTTTTCAATATATTTTGACTGATCACACTGTAAGCTAGGTAAATAAAGTAAGTTCGTTGGCGTTTCTTTTTCAATATATTTTGAGTGATCACGCTGTAAGCTAGGTAAATAAAGTAAGTTCGTTGGCGTTTCCTTTTCAATATATTTTTTCTATTTGGGCCCACCACGTCACGTTTAGCCCTTGTCTTCCAGTGTCCTTGACCAAGACAAAAATACAGGATTTGACTGAAGTCTTTATGGTAGTCCTGCAAAAACTTCATCGTGTGAACGTACCTAAATTACGGTCGAACACTGCAAGTACAGTACAGTACACTGCAAGTGAGACTGTAGAACCTGGCATACTGTACACTGTACAGTACAGTGGTTATAATGTTGTTCATTTGCTAATGATAGGCTGTGCTGCATTTCAACGGGAGCTCATTTAATGCTCGTGCAGCGGATGATCTAAGGGAGTTTCTAATTACAGTACAGTACTGTACAAGTGTACAGTATACTGTACTGTAGTACAGAGGAGGGCAAAATTGATTCGACTGGCCCACTGCAGTCCATAGTAGTCCTTTGCCTAGTCATCGTGTCAGCAAGGCTTGTAGCTATTCCAACTAGAAACCACGTGATCTCATCGTCGGCTCCAGTAACTGTTGATAAAGTAATAAGAGATTAAGAGTACACTGAGTGCATGAATTACGAAAAGAAAACTTGGACTGATCACTCTTGGATGGACAGACATTTTAAACCTTCTCTCCGTCTGTCCGAGAGGATCGCACCGTAACCCTAAACCTTAACCCTAACCCGTAGTCCGTGACCTGACAGGACCATAAATTTTACTGTACTGTACAGTACTGTCCTGTACAGTACAGACCGTACGTACAGTACAAGTGTACACTGTACAGTACTCTGTACAGTTCGGTATGACTGTACAGTACAGTACGAAGTACCGTGAAAT